GAAAATATATTTGCCTTATCAATCGCACATGGCCAACATGAAAAGATCACTGCAGGCTACATGATCAGCAAATGTTAAGCAGCACTGCTTAACATTTGCTGATCATGTAGCCTGCAGTGATCTTTTCATGTTGGCCATGTGCGATTGATAAGGCAAATATATTTTCGGAATATGGGCAAACAAGCTGCTGATATGCTGTATTAATCGTAGTCAGCAAACGGCACCTGATCTTACAGATTCCTTCTTTAAGGAGTTTTGCAGTCGCCAAAGAACTTGAACACAGGAAATCGTCCTAAATAGGTCGCTTGCAACGTTTGCACTTTGTGATCAACCCCACAAGACAATTCGATTTTCCGAAATGACCATTCACCGTTGACAGACTTAGACAGACCACCTGATCGGATAGTGCACCACTCCAAGAATCAGTAGAGTCACGCGTAGCCAGGAAACCCATTCAATCAAGGTTACACACTGCCTCACGTTTTCTACGAGCTAACCTGGCGCAGGTGTTTGGGAAGTGGCTTAGTGCCCTTGCACCTCAAACGCGCCGGCCACGCTCGCCGAATCCGCCCACAGTGCACTCATAGGATAGTGATAAGACACACCTGAATCGCCCATGCTTATCCAAATGATGGACTCGTTGCTTATTTCAGGCACCTCTTTAATCACATGCTCTCAGTTAAGTTGGAAGTACAACTTAAAGGAGGAATACACGATAAGAACGAAGGTCAAAGAAGGGAAAATGCATAGTTGGGAGACAGGCGGACCTCCTGAGGGTGCTGACCGACGCGCAATTGGCAGCGAAAGATTTGACCTCGGCGATCTAGCATGGCTCACTCTTGGCGCGGTTGGCGGGGTACGCCCACCGACTATCTAGCCGCAGGTCTATACGTGGCGAGTGATTAGATAGCAGAGAGAGCGTAGTGTTGAAGAGGGCACAGCGATGAGAGTCGCATCAATGCGCAAATCAACGGGCAAGGAAGGGGTCCCATTTCTCGGGTTTCGGGCCGTTTCAAATGGTTTCTTCTTCATCCCTGCTCCACTGACCACCTCTACCCTTATTTCCAATGAGCTAACTTTTCATCGTAAATTCTGCCTTTAAGGGTGCAGAATAAGTCGAGCTATCTGGGGTGCTGGCGTACCGTTGAAAGTGAATTCACTTCTAAATCGATATGGGACTGTTTCACATCCAGGTTCATGGCAAGTGAAACCCAGAAAGTTGGAACTCAACGGGAGGTTTCGTCGCGCAAAATGAACCAATCTGATAAGTTTGAACATTATGCCAAGGAATTGCCCATGGTCCCTGTTTAGCGCCTGTTTAGCGCACGTACTCAACATTCCAAAGCAGCAGTTTCGAAATTCGTGCTGAGCAGGTCAAATTACCGCTGCAGGCCATCTTCTAATCCAATTCCGAGGTTTGCGATCAACTTTTAGAAAAATTCGACAAACCGTTGGTTTTCCTGGCCTACTAACCTTAGGGACCAATCATGAAGGCTTGCATGTGGAAATAGCGTCATGTGAATATTCGGACACAGCAAGCAAGTAAGCAGGACCCATTTTTCTTCTTGTGTACCTAAAATTCGGGATTTGCCGCAATCAGTAAATAAATGACAGAATGATCATCCAGCCAGACTCAAAGCTAAATGAATAGCAGTCAATTAAGGAAGCCCACATTCTGTGCGCCTCATCAAAGCTCGGTTAGGCTTAAAGTGTTCCTTAAAGGAGGAATTCACGATTAGAATGAAGGTCGAAGAAAGGGAAACTGACCTAGTTGAGGGACCCACGGACCTCCTGAGGGTGCGAACTGACGCGCAATTCGCATGGAAAAATTTGACCTCGGCGACCTATCATGCCTCAAAGCTGGCGGGTCCGGCGATCTCCGCCCACCGATCATCTGATCACTCGCCGTAGTTCAATACGTGGCGAGTGATAGATAGTGATGTTGAAGAGGGCACAGCGATGAGAGTCGCATCAATGCTCGAATCAACGGGCAAGGAAGGGTACCATTTCTCGGGTTCTGGGCCGTTTCTCATGGTTCTTCCTTCTTTCGTGTACCACTCACCATCCCTAGGTTAATTTGAAATGGGTTGCTTTTTCATCGTGAATTCGTCCTTTAAGGAATAGTTTGACACGCTGAGGGTGTATATCACACCTTCATATTCGGTACGAAAAGGCTTGACGCGTATGTTACGAACGTGACGACCAGTCATTTGCAAATGGCGCCAGACTTGCTTGCAGCTTCTCGCTGATTCTTTACACTGGTAAATATGCATAAACAAGCACTCATCATAGATCAACATAGTTCTTCGGAAGTCTTTATAACGATACTTTCAAAAAAGGCAGCTCGCCAAAAAGTCGATGGGCACAGACTACTACCGTTGCACTCTCTTGCTTCATACCTACGTTTAGGAAATTGTTTACCATATTTCTGGTCATTTTTGGGGATCAACGTTTAAAAAACGCATATGCTAATGGAATGTGTCCACTGCAAAGGGCAAGTTTGACCTGTGATCTTTCCCTTGCTAGGCGGGATGCTATCAGTCGTCCGTGCAGCGTGGAGATGCTCCTGACGTACTTCCATTTCGTCGCCAGTTAGAAATAAGGGGGATAATTTATCATCCAATATGTCGGTGAATTGAACAACTGGTGGAATTCCAATGTCTCCCAATTGGGTAGGTGCAGACCGTAGTTCGCATGACGATACGAAAACAATCACGCTACTGAAAACCAGCTCATTGCCGTCTGCACTGTTAGCAATAGGGGTGCCAGTTGGGTTGACGGGTCTATTTGCGACATTCTGCAGCGCTTTTTGCGATTATAAATAAAAGATGAAGTTATAGACGGAGCACTTTCTTGCAGGCGGGAAACGAACCCACGCCTCTCGATTTTCGGCTTATTGTGCAACAACTTGCACAAACAGGGCATCGTTCCATCTTACTCAGCCTTCAGTGGTATTTTTAGTATCTATTTTGGTTATGAATGGTACATTTGGTATATTTTACCCATAACCCAGCATCCTTGTGGTAGCTTTCGCACCGCGAACAGCGAGAAAAGCAGTGTCTAGCAAAACAAATGAGAAGGTGTAAAATTGTTGGTGTAGACTGCTCTCAACTGGGTTCGCACTACACATCATACTTTTAGTCAGCGTTACAAACCTATTGTGAAAGGGTTTGGTGCCTGACCAACAATTTGATGGGCGCACCGATGTATGACAGTGCCCTGTCCGGCGCTATCGCAACATACGGAGGTATCCTCTAAGACTTGAAGTAAGATGGTGCAGGCCTAACTATGCGGAGCACCACCGCTGTATGATTTGGAGTATCGAAAGTGGGAGGGGGGGGGGGCGTCGGGGGATAAAGAAGCTTACGCACCCTGGAGTCTCTCCTTTCCGCCTAAGGCTTAGCCCCAATTCTAACAAAAAGATGTTTTAGGCGCTTCTGTACGCATCACCTCAATGCCCCCGTATCTTGCGATAGCGCCTTCTAGCTTTTTGGACCTAGCAGACCCCATGTGGTCAATTTCTAAGGAGGAAGCAAGTTACTTAGACAGGATCAACTGCACGTTGTGCAGACTCTAAAATTTTTTGGAAGTCGCCCTGCACGGGTCCCCTCATACGACCCCTCCAACAGCCGTTTGGTTGGCAGCGTATAACTTGCCATTACTTAAAAATTTCCAACTCCGCCTTAGAATTGACTTGGAGGGGGAAGACAATGATTCCGTTCCAGCAAAATCTGTATATTCCCATCCGCTACACTTTATTTGTTCCACCAAGCGACTCCCCTAAAGGGCCAGAATACGACCCTCATCCAAAAACCGCATATACCGTACGATCCTCTTCGCATGATGATCCCAACGGACGGTTGATGATGTACCTAGGTTGGGCGAAGTGACCTCAACATTGGTAAAGATCTTTGTGTTTTTGACGCTGCTAGACCATCCAACATCAATTGCCCAAACAAACCAACCCTTTTTTGATCACTTGACATTTTTTCTGGGTCGCTTCTTGATGCCGTTGTAATTGGCAGTGTCACAACAGTCGTATCACGCGTACTACTCGAACACCTACTGGCGTGACCTTTACGGCCGATGAGTCATTTCGGGTGTCTTTGGGGCACGAATCGCTGCCAAATGTCGAAAATAATCGGATCTGGACGTACAGTTTCCCTCGAATTGGCAGTGATTGGTTGAAAAGAGTCTGTAAGTGACGTCTCGAACCATTCATGTGGTGCTAAATATGGCGCCGATTGAAAACCGGGTGTACTGTGACGTGTTCGCCATTTCGTCGCCATCACCACGTGGTCTTGCTGGCGTTGAAACGTAACAACAGGGGCGGAGTCGCGCAGGGCCGCGGACATAAAGCAAGCGCACCGCTCTCCGATCGCAGAGCGAACTGCTGCATTCCGAAGCACTTAGTGACCTTCCCCCTATCAGTTCACCGTCTACGCTGCCGTGTAATTATTATGCGTGAATCGCGGTTGTTGCTATGTAATTTTTCCTAACTACTAGTTTCTTTTAGTGTGCATATGTATCCGGACGCAATTGACAATGTTCCCGCCGTGCCCACCCAACTCACCAAAGCTAAAATCATCTCAAAGCTTCACCTCCACGAAAAGATCCTCCTCGATCAGGTAAGGAACAGCGTTCGGAGGTGTTCTGTTCTGTTCAGTTGGTTTAAAAATTCCTTTTTTTTCAGAAGAGAAGTCGTCGAGGCAAAATGGAATGGGCACCGTTACCCCAATCCATGCATGCTGCCAACACTATCAATCCCATTAGAAGAATTGCTGACGCAGTGTCGGTAGCGCCGAATCCTGATAAGGCACCGATAAAGATGCATCTAGGAGATCCTAGCCTAACTGGACGACTTCCACCTTGTCCCGTGGCCGTTGAAGCTATTCAAGAATCCTTGATCTCACAAAAGTTCGTTTCTTCTTGACCATTCTGCAAACTTGTGAGCTCTGTCTAGATTTACTAACTGATTATTAGGGTTCTTATTTCAGACACAATGGGTATGGTCCTGCTGTAGGAGAGCTGGCTGCACGTGAAGCCGTAGCCCGACGGTACAGTACCAGTGCGGCCCCTATAACAGCTGATGACGTGATCCTTGCCAGCGGATGCTCTCATGCCATACAAATGGCCATTGAGGGTATAGCAAACCCTGGGGACAACATTCTGATACCCCATCCCGGTTTTCCGCTGTATTCCACGCTCTGCAAACCGCACGGAATTGAGGTTGGTTTCTCTCGAGCTACTATTCAACCTCTTCCACTACAGTAGTACATTGGTCCAGTGGCATCTAGAGATTCGTTTCAGGACCGTGCATATAAGCTAGACATGAAAAATGGAGGGCTGATTGATTTGGAGCATCTTGAATCGATGATTGATGAACGAACACGCGCTTTGGTTGTCAACAACCCTGGCAATCCAACCGGTGTCGTGTTCCCCAAAGAGCACTTGGAGGACATCTTGGCGGTGCGTTTTCGATCCACTATTGTGATAATCACTTTATCGGATTAGCTGATCAGATAACATGTCTATCGGTTTCAGTTGGCGTATCGCTACCACCTCGTGATCATTGCCGACGAAATCTACGGAGATCTCACCTATGACGGTGCAGTGTTTCACCCACTTGCGACGCTCACCCCTAAGGTCGGTCCGTACACTTATCACAAAACGTACGTTCCATGCCGCCGCGTGTGTGCCCTTATCAGACCTAGGAAGTGTCAGCGACACTACCGACGACTTCCTGTCATTGAAAAACGTGATAAGGCGATAGGAACTCATGAACTTAGAAATGTGACCGTAGTAGGCGCATAACAGAATTGATTTCTTTCAGGTGCCTATCATAACATGTGACGGGATCGCAAAACGTTGGATGGTACCCGGCTGGCGCCTTGGATGGCTCATCGTTCACGACCGACATCGGGTACTGAACGAGGTCCGAAAAGGACTGGTCGCGCTGTCGCAAAAGATCGTCGGACCATGTGCTCTTGTCCAAGGAGCTCTACCAAAGATCTTAGCCGAAACTCCCGAAAAGTACTTCGAGCACAATCGTCAAGTGATCTCAAAAAACGCCAACATCGTTAGTAAACTGCTGAAAGGCTTGGATGGAGTTCACTTGCCTGCAACCTCATGGAGCCATGTACATGATGATCAGCATCGACAGGTCAATGTACGGAGACGATCTGAAATTCGCGTCCGAGTTGATACAGGTGGGCGTTTTTTATCAGTGAGCTTCTGAGAAGATACGGTAATCACACGGGGCCAATGAAACTGGAACGAGCTACACCTCCGACTTTCATTAGGGATAACTGTGGAGGGATATAAAAGGGTATTCATCCCACAGATATAGTAGGGGTAGGGCAGGAATGCAGCCGGTGCTTAGGTATCGTTTCACATGCTCCCTCTTTCCCACCCCACCCCGCCCTAAATTAGGTCCGGTACCACATGACGACTAGTTGACAAAGCCCTCTCCCCACTTCCTCAACTGAGGCTAGCACCATTTGGAAGATCTAGTTGGATGCATGGGCTGGATGGGTTAAAGGTATTCGATCTATGAACCATGAAAATGTTATCATCGCCTTTTGCCACCACACTGAAGTCAGCTGATCTTCCATTGAGCAATGTGTTCTTTTCAGGAGGAATCCGTGTACTGTCTGCCTGGATCAGCCTTCTCATCGCCAGGCTGGATTCGGCTGGTCATAACTCATTCGGAAGAGGTGACCGAGGAAGCTATGCGCCGAATTCGAGAGTTCTGTGAACGACGGCAAACAGAAGGATTTCCAGAAAGCGAAGAGCTGTCATCTGATGAAGGCTGTGAAATCTTAAGTGAATCTAACTAAGCAATCGATGGCCAAAATGGCGTTACCCTTTGCATATCAGAATATTTATGCATATTTATATCATATATACACAAATCGATGCCAATGCATTCTGTGATCAGTTATTTATTGCAATGTTCTGTTCACCACGAGGTGGGCAAGTAGGAGCCTTGTCATTCTGGCTGGGGATATACAATTGTATCGACGGCTTGTCTTACGGTATTTCCGTCAGTATCGATAAGGCATGCTCAAGCAATTATGGGTTATGAATTATTATTGACAATAATGATTGTTCGTCAAATAAATATTGCCTTTGAATTTTTTTTTACCAAACACCGCTTCCGGGATACGCCACGCCTTCGTCTTTGGTTCAGAAAACTGCAGAGGTTGCTGCAATCGAATTGAAAACGGGATATTACTAGATGCAGATGGTTAATGATTGAGCCAGCGACTTTGTTCCCTCAAGCGTTTTCGGCAGCAAATGAGGAACTCGAAACTGAGGCCGTTGTAGTTTGGGAAAGGCGCCTATTGCCTTTGCACTAGTTACGCATAATAGTGGAGTAAGTGATGTCATTTACAAGTTTGGGAAGCTTGTCTAGTGGCGCAGAAGCACGTGACTGATCCCTAGAGATCAGCAGCGAACGAGGATGTGTGGAATGGGAGCTGATCAATCACTGACGCAGAATTCTCCGACACCCATGCACGGCTCGCAATGAGAATAGCGCTAATGATCACACTGTCATAGGTGGATAATGGTAGATTGTAGCGGATGCGCGATGGTCTTATCACGTGGTGTCCGCCGATGCCCTGCATTGCCAGACCTGGCACAACCTGACCCACACACGCGGCGCTAAGAATGACGCAATCTGCTTTGCATCATTGCAGTGCAATCTGCCTACATAGTAGATGGTATCGCGTACGAAAACCGAATTCCTTGCTGTAACAAGTAAGCAGTAAACAAGTTGTTGTTGAAAGAGTAAGGGAGTAGGACAAAAAAGTAGCAGGACGAGCCTTCTTCTGCGCATTATTCTGCTTGGAAATTTTACAAGAATGCTGGATTATGAACAAAACTTCCGCCTCAGGTGGAACTCAAGCTGCAGCTGTCGCTTACCGGGGCGTCACAAGTTACGATACCGGAGCACCGGAGCAGCTAACATCAAAAACAAGTCAAAAATCTGCTTACCAGGGAATGTTTTGAACTTCCATGGGACTTCGAAGGAGAGACCTAGAGGAACATCGATAGAGTCTTGGACGCTGATTACAAATGTTGGACACCTAAACTGTTTACCTGAACTTTATAAGAAAGTTGTGAGCTTTAAAAGTTGCATAATAACGCTAATGATGAGGCACAATCTATGTTGAAACACTGTCACTTTTTGCCTGAAACTTGTTCTATAAAGGTAAATGGGTGCCTTGATCACGAATATGAGACTCGTTTTTGGCGCAGAGCCACGGCGACTGTGATTCCACCAATTAAGCGTTGCCTCAATGAACGTGTTTTTTGAGGGCTCATAACTTTCTTAGAAAGCTCACGTAGCAGTTTTATGTAGTGTCCATATTTGTGCACAAAACAAACAGCGTTCAAAACTCTACCGATACATATTGGTCTCCTTTCAAAGCTCCATGAAAACTTAAAAACTTTCCCTGGCTAGAATCTTTTTATCCAATCAGGAGCATTCTGCCGGAACTGCGAGCGAAAATGTTGATAAATCCAGCCAAGAGCCGCGTCCTCTCCAAAATTAAAATACCCCTTCCGGCGCTACGCAAGACACAGGAGCATTGTGGTGACTGCATGGAACACAGCTCCTTTTTGTTTACAACGGATTCGAGCCTTGAGCGGTGAACGAGAAGCTCTGGAGTGCGTGAGCAATTTTCATTACGTCAAGAAATCCTGTCCCCCCTTAATCTTAATTCTACAATATCGCCACTAACTTTTGAAATTTCTCCGCTGAGCGACGGATTTGCAGCACGCAAGCGTACTCTACAACTAAGAAGAAATTTCCCCGCTACCTCCTCAGATTTCGGAAAAACCTTCGCTCAAACATTGGAAAATTTCACCAGATAGGCTAACTGTCCAGCCGAGAATTGATCTATGATTTCCATTTGAACACGAGAGGAGGAGATGTTGAGCGCAGGGACTACGTGTTAAGTCATTTAACGCGCCGCCATGGAATAGGGACCATGAAATCTGGAAAAAAGCAATCGATCCATTCACAATACAATGGACGATGTTGAATACGCGGCGCGTTCTGGGGCAACTGCTGAGACCCATCTCTCTGAAGAACGATCATGATGCATAAGCGGGATTATATGCGCACCACATTCAAACAATTTTTCTCGAGCCAAAGCTCGAGTGCATGGCGCAATCTGAAGTAGGGCTTTCCAAAAGTTTAAAAGCACATTCTTATAGAACTCGACGAGCTGAAATCAATGCTTTTTTCAGATTTCGAAAATCTTAATTCTGAAGCGAGTTATAACGAAAAAACGAAAAAAAACGCGAATTCGCGTTTTTCGCGTTTTTTTTTCGATTTTTACGGCGAGTACCGTAGTTTTCCACATGGTTAGACTCGCCACAGAGAGACGAGTCCAATGGTGTAGAGCACCAATCATTTGACCCGCTTTGGGGGGAGTTATGAAGGGGCGACGCTTTGCGACGCTGCAAATCCGTCGCTCAGCGGAGAAATTTCAAAAGTTAGTGGCGGTATTGTAGCTCTCGCCCCGTAATTTGCGATGCGAACCTCCCCTCCTCCTATTAATACAATGCGATCTTTATCGAAGAATCTGAACCGTGGCTCCTTGTTGTGGAAAACAAATTCGAACGTTGGAGACGGGTTATTTGGTCTCAGTCAAAACGTGTTGAATATTCAGAGGGTAAACAAGAGAATCCTCAAGCTATCAGAAGCTGTTCCTGCCGCACTCCTGCGTCGGCTTCCTCAAATTGAAAGCTTGCAAGAGGTCACCATGCGGTGAGATTGGACGGATTCATATCGTGCCTCGCTCGGGAATTGATTACGAGGTGTTCGTTCCACCTGAAAATAGGCAGACCTGTCGAGATAGGGAACGGCAGGAGGGCGGAGGAGTGGAAGTAACCGGATGTAGTGCAGAAAGCCCACCGCGAGCGAATGGCAGACACAAGTATATTTCTGGTTAGTCTGGAGAAATGAGGTTGGGTGGTTCGTCAAAACTTCCATTCACTGTGTGAATTCGAAAATTCACCACCTTCCATCCATCTCTGTTTTCGGGTTTTGAGAACTGTATCACAAACGCAGGTAATAAACAACTTTCATAGCAAAAAACAGAGGGAAGGAGAAGGGAGAAGAGTAATTAGAGAGCTTTCGTGAGGTGGTTTTCCACACAGTGCTCAAGCATGGGTGGCGGAGTGGCTGGCTACGGTAAGTTCAGAAGAAATTTCGAGCGCGGCAATCCCCAAAAGTACGCGCTCCTTACCGTCAGATGATTTTAGGGGACAATGATTATCAGTGCGTTCATACATTAACGATCTCTATCTGGAGTAGCTGACGTATACTTAACTCGTGAACGCATAGCTGCGCTCATGCGGGTGGTTCCATTCTCCCCTGCAACTTCGATGATGTTTGAAAAAAAGGGACTTTGAGTATGAAAAGGTCCGAATCGCCCTAATAGGGTTGAATTTGCAAACCGTTCAAGAAGCTAGCAACCTTTTGAAGGCAGCGATCATGATAGGTTCTAGAAGGGTTTAAATGAGACGTGGTGGTGCTCAATGGTACGCCAGTGGCGAAAAAAGCGGAGAAATCCGTCAAGAAAACAAAAACGGGACCCTTTTTTGGCCGTTGGTTTTCACTCATGAACAGGTAACAGCTCAGAAAGCGGACGTATGAACGAGTTCACCGCAACGCGTTTGGTGGCACCATGCCAAACCACGCTCAATCGAGTTGCTCCAGTTGTGCCGCTGCTGGCAACGCAGCTCGTCCAAATCACCAACTAAACTAGTGGGCGGATCGCTTTTGGGGCGGAGTGCTTTCGAAGTCCTGCTCAGCAACCAGCGCACCTTTCGTCGTGAAAGCGCCACACCTCGCTTCCTGGCAGCCAAGTAACTGCTTCGTGTGGTGCATATGCTTCCCCGATGCGCTCCCTCTTTATCGTAATCGCTTCCTTAAGCTCTGCGCCCCCTTAGCTTTGTGAGATTATGCGAACTAGCTCAGTCTGAGAGGTGAGCACCTCCTTCAAAAGTGCTGTCGTGAGTCATCGTGCAAGCGACAAATGCGAACGTCGCGTTCCGCGGCGTTCCTGCCATTCCGGAGGTCTTAATTCGAGCGTGAAACATGTGTTTTCTGTGCGCGATGACGCACTTGTGCGATT